TCAGAATCCCAGCCTGTGTGTCTCCGTTGGAACATTCCTTTTAGTAACTTCAGTGCATATTCTCTCATTGAATTTCACTTATTGCATTAAGAAGGAGCTTATTTTGAGTTTATTGCTCTTCCCTGTGTTTTACCTCATAAAATGGTGGAATCTTCACTTAATTTACTAGCACATACCTTTTACTTTGGGTTGTAATTTTGTCATTGCCATGCCAGTAACACACACCCTGCTCTTTGGAGGATGATAATTGCATGCAGCCTCCTGAAGACTCATCACGTCTCCTTCCTGCGTCTTCAGCGTTGGTGAATATTGGGGTTATTTACAAAGGCAGTGACTGAATTTCAGTCAAACAATAGAAAGTTTTCGTTGCTTTGAATAAATTCTGACTTAGTCAACAAATGTTAGTTTCTTCACGTTAGTTTTTCTGCATATAAAAATTTTAGTTTCCCCGTTTACCTTTGAGCAGTTGGTGAGTTGGAAGACGTGGAAAAGTTTTTCACTGCATTTTAGGTATGAAGATGGGCAAGATTCGTCCTTGACTTTCTGGATTGGTGAAAAGTTATAAGTCTCTATGAGTGTCTGGTATGAAGGGTGAGGGTTGTATTTTTAGATTGCATGGTTGATTCATGGGGGCGGGGGGAGGGAGATGAATTTTAAGGCAATACTGTGTAAGATGTCTGAGTGGGTGTGGCCCTCTCGTAATTAATATAAAATAGATAATGTCAACTAGAACACAAACAAATGGAGTGACTAGTGACTGGCTGTGTAGAAAAGCAGAGGCTTAACGTGCCGGCATCCAGGAGGGCAGGGCCTTGTGCCTGGAGTTCCTTTCAGGGGAAGCTTTCTAAAATCGGTGTGAGAGTTTGACAGGAAGAAACTGAAGGCCTGACCAGAGGGGTGGGGCTCTCCTTCCATCTCTCCTTCTTTCTTCTGTGCTGACCAGGCCATGGAACTTGGAGTGATTGACTTAAAAGAAAAAGAAGCTAATTTTCTGTTGAATTGGACCTATAAAGTTCTGTATTTTTCTTTGGGATCTGTCTTGTTGTCATGTGAACATATTGATAGTATCACTGAATGTCACAATATTGATCATCGTGACTACCTGTCTCAGAAACTGTGACTTGAAGTGTCAGAGGCTTTGTGAACTCTTCTGCCTGAACAAGCCCTGATGAAGCCCAGTGATACAAATGTCAAGGGACTCTGAGGCTGGGAGTTTCACGCCGGGTGTATGGAGCAGTTCTGGACAGATGGGTGGAAAGGGGTGGCACTAGCCATTTCAGACGCCTGGTACATTGGCCCATTGTTTATAGAAAATATATTAAGGAGAGAAGACGGTAAGTTTTCAACTTTTCTCCCTCGCTTCTGGGTTCATTCTTTCTAGCTTTTTCTCTTTCATTTTCTCCCCTCTTTTACTCTCATTAACTTACTCTGAATGACAAATGACAAAGCTTCAGTTTAAAGTTCTCCTTAATATATGAATGACATTGAAAATACCAAATTGTTTATGCCAGCACAACCTTCACTAATGACTAGCAGAAGTTGATTTCTTTGTTTAAAACACATAATAGTAAAAGTATAGGCTCACTTTCTCTGGAAATGAGATGGTACTTATGAACATTGCCTGGTACTATGCAGCTAAGATTTATGAAAAATTACAGCTTTATCTTCTTGCTGCCACCCAGAACTGGTACTGATTCAGATCAGGGTCCTGCTGGAGTTAATGTGACTTTTGTGCCTGCAAGGATGAACTAGAACAAGACTGGATTGTGGGACTTAGAAAGGCCAGTAAATTTGCTCAGTAACTCACCTTCATTGTGCAGGGCCTCTCTACACCTAAGGAGTACCTCTGCCTCAGAGCTCCCCTGACTTAATTTTTTTTAAAGATGTTTATATATTTTCAGAGATAGAGAATAAAGGAGGGAGAAAGAGGGGGGAGAAACATCAATCTGAGAAACATCACGTGGTTGCCTACCACACACCTCCAACCAGGGACCTGGCCCACAACCCAAGCATGTGCCCTGACTGGGAATCGAACTGGTGACCTTTCGGTTCACAGGCCAGTACTCAATCCACTGAGCCACACCAGCTAGGGCTCCCCTGACTTCAGGTGGTTGATTTTCAAAATGCAGTGATAGATACTTAAGTTGCAGGAGGTATTAGTACTTACCCCAAATCTTGATTTTAAAAAAAATTCACAGACATGCACAAGAACAAGCTTGATATTCCTTTCATCTTCTGGTAAACACAGCAGGGTGTGCAGGGGCTGTGCATTTCTGAGCAGCACTCTGAAATATACCAGACCCTTCTTTCAAAGAAAACTTTACCCAGCTCATATGCTCTGACCCATGTCCAGTCTACACAGCTCTCTTTCTCCTCTGTTTCCCTTTTTTCCCTTCCTCTCAAGGACTAATGTAAGTGTGCAAGCATTTTGAACCCGACTCCCCCACTCCTATCCCCTACAAGTTGCGCAGGCTTTGTTTCAGGCCCCGGGGAGGAACAGTTGTGAATGCGTTGTGACTGACTACTCCCACTTTCCTGATGCTGGTTCTGATTGGTCGTCACCTTGCTCCAGCCGTAGGGCTGCAGAGTACTCTAGTCTGCATCCCTTTCTCGCTCTTTCCCCCACTGTTCCCTTCTGTTGTACACAACACTGGGAGTGGGTTCCGGGCTTTGTCTCTTGCTTGTAGTTTACCCCAGTTAGGCAGTCAGTAGAGAACGCTGTATTTCCTAAGGATGGCTGTAGAGGAGAAAAACACCCTTTCCTTTTGTGCCTTGTACAGTAATTATTTAATTTCCTGTGCTGTTTTTGTTCAAAGTTTATTTTTGGCAGGTGTTAGATTTGTATTGTATGTTTTCCTCTTGGTTTCTCTCCTGATTTGAGCTGGGATTTTTTTTTGGCGGGGGGGGGGGTTGTTTTTTTATTCTGGTTTGTTTTTTTTTTTAAATACAGGTTCTTGGAGTCCCTTTTCCGCCACCGTCCTGTCACACTTTTGCTTGTTTGTTGTTATGTTTGATTAATGCTGATTAATACGTTTTAGAGGGGGACTGAAAGCACCTCTAAATAATTAACAAATTGTTAAATGGCAGTCACCAAGCGATAAAATCTACCTGTGATATACAGCATTAATCCATAGCACCCCTACTATTACTCTCCCTTCTCCTAAACTGTATCAGTTCAATTACTCTGTCATTTATACGTGAGAAATAGGATTTTGAAGATGTGAAAGTTAATTTTTATAAGCATTTGATATTTTTATTAATTTGCATTTTTATTATTCTGCAGATGGTTTCTGTGGAGACATTGGACTCTGCGTCCTTTTTTTTCTTCTTAATGTTTAACTACTGAAGGAAGAAGTGCTAGCAAAGCATAAAGTATAACAGACTTTTCTCCCCCAAATTGGCCTTTATATATTTTCATTGCCTAAAAAAGTCAATAATAAAAATAATAAAAATTCTCTCAAGAATGTATTTTGCAGTGACTTAAAGTTTTTAAAAATCCATTTTATAAGTATTTTAATATTCAAATATGTTAAGCAAGTAGCCTGCAGGTTTGGATTCTTTAGAGAATACGTGCTATGAAGTTGGTTAGAATCATAAGCAGGAATTTGAAAATCAACCTGGCTCTCTAGTTTCACTTAACTCTTTATTTAAAGATCTCTATTCACTTCTTTTTCTCTATTCATAATCTGTATTAGAAAATAGCAATCTATTTTTACCAGAAATAACAAACCTCAGTTGGTGAACTGGCTTGAAAGTGTATGAGAGGGGCGCTGCTTACACCTCTTCAGCCCTGGGAGCAGGAGAGTCAGAATCCGAGTCTGGCCCCAAATGGTTACTATATATTCTCTGAGCCTTTTGCTGGTCTTTGGTTCTATCACTTTATATATCATGTGAAGAGAATGAGAACATTGACTTAGCCACAACTGTAGTTGTGAGGAAAAGTCCTTTCCCTCATGGGACGTACATTCTGTTGAGATGTATTATATAGTAATGAAGGTAATTCAGGTACCCATTTTCCTGGATTTGAACAAGGTCTAGAAAATTCAGCAAACCTTAAATTTTTCATCCATGTAGGTAAGTCCCTACTCTGCCTAAACAAATGAATGTGTTTCTACAGACCCTAGCCCAGCAAAGAAGTCCAGTTCATGAATTACACGTTTCAGTGGTTTAGAACGTCTGGGCCCTGGTGGGGCGGCTCAGCTGGTTAGAGCATCGTCCTGACCCCTGGTCAGGGCACGTACAGCAATCAACCAGTGGGTGCATAAATGGGCACCACAACAAATCAGTGTCTGTCTGTCTGTCTCCCCCCCCAAAAAATCAATACATAGAATGTTTATTGTTTATGTTGCATATTTACGAGATCAACTGTTCTTTGTTTAAAAGCCTATTTAATGTTTGAATCTTGGATAGATACAAGATACTTTTTGATTAATAAAAATCAGTATGGCTGGTATCGATGCTCTCATACAATGCAAGAGGAAGAATGACCAACAATTTGCCAATCTCAGTTCTTGAGTACTTTACATTTAGCAGCTGGTTTGGCACTTGTAAGAACCCTAAGGATATTGTTAGTTGCCTCATTTCACAGGACAGGAAATTGAGTCATAGATAGGCTAAGTAACTTGACCAACATCATATAACTGGTAAATAGCAAAACTGAAATTTGAATTTAGGCACTATGTTTCCAGAGCCGCGCCTTCACTGCTGTGCTATACTACCCTGTCCTTCCAGCCTAGCACTCTAAGCCAGTGATAGTCAAGGAACCTGAGCTCTGCTAAGTGACCTCCATTACCTTTTCTCTTGTGCATGCCTCAGTTTCCCTTTATATATAAAATGTGTCTTATGCCATGGGTTTCTCCTCATTTGTCTAATCTGTAAATTTTCAGTATAACAAGTTTTAGGTTAAAGATGTCAAGAGGCATATAATTGCTGCATATTTCTCTACAGCTGGTAGGACAATATTCTGATAGGTTTTATTTCTTTTTGTTTTCATTTGCTAGAAACGAGTAGTTGAACAACTACGGAAGAACCTGATGGTCAAGCAAGAACAACCAGACAAGTTCCAAATACAGCCATTGCCACAATCTGAAAACAAACTACAAACAGCACAGCAGCAACCACTACAGCAGCTACAGCAACAACAGCAGTACCACCACCACCACGCCCAGTCAGCTGCACCCTCTCCCAATCTGACCGCTTCACAGGTAAAGTGTGGGTGGAGCTCTGCAGGCTGCTTGTTGTAGAGCAGTGCGTTACTGGTCACGCAGAACTGGGCCTTGTCTCAGACTACATTAAGCTCAACTAGCTCTAAAACAAAAGATATTTTGGTTCCTTTTTTTTATATATATTATGTTATAACTAGGATAAGAATCACTTCAAATTCATTTGTAGAAGGAAATAACATTGCTAAGGAGCAGAAATTAAATGATTTACCCCCGGTTCAAAAAGGAGGGAAAGATAGTGACAAAGAAAAATCGCTTCTCTGTGTAAGAACAGAAGTAAAGTCTTATTTTGAATTCCTTGAAATATTTATTTGAGCTTGTCCTAAGAGCCTGTGTAACTTCATCTCTTCTGAAATTGTTTTTCTGGAATTCTCAGCAATTAAGCTTGGAGATATTATAGGATTGGTGCCCTCGGGACCAGGTAGAAAGAGGCATTTAGGAGGGTGGTATGTTTCCATTATTCATAGAAACAAAATATTCATTTCTAAGTCCATATGCATGAGAATATGAATCTGTTCTAATGCACTGAAGGAAATCTGAAACAGAAGCTGCAGGTCAAAACTAGCACTAAGGGGTAGAAGCTTAATAAGATTCTGACTTGGTGTAGCTGTGCAAATGATTTCACTGCAAAGGGCATTGAAATGAGCATATAATGTAAGGACAGTGAGGCAGTCCAGACACACAAAAGGACATATTTGGGGATGACCTTCAGTTAAGAAAATTATTCAAGCTTGATCTTCACACACTTAGATGTAATATGGGCAAAGCTTTTAAAATGGGACAATTAAGCAGTGGTTGTTGATCCTTGGAGGTCACAGACCCCTTTAAGACTCTCTTGAAAGCTCTGGATCCCCTCCCCAGGAAAATACCCATTCACACTTAATGCACTCATCTTTGCACATGATTTAAGGACTTAGATCTTTTGAAACCTGAGTGTGGATATATGTGACCCACCAACACCACGTCTTCCCTGTATCTTTATAGGTTAAGGAAAAGTTATCGTTTACTTGGTTCCTAACTGTTTGTGGACATTGGGCTGGTTCCTAAACTACATTCTGCAAGTGAAGAATGCATTCCTTATAAAAATACTAAAGACAGTTAACATCTAATAGAAGTTACTATAGACTGCTACTCTCCTAAGTGCTTTATGTGTATAATGTACATAATCCTCACCACAGCCCTAATAAGGACAATGCTGTTGTTGTTATTACCATTATTATTATTATCTCTTAAGAAAAAAACTAAGGCGCAGAGAGATTAAGTAATTACCCAAAATCATATAGGTTGTATGTAGTAGAGCCAAGATTTGAACCTAGATGTTCTGGCTGAAAAAGGTATTAATTTACTACTCTTCTACACTGCCGCACAATACCAAAAAAAGAAATGCCAACATTATATAAAATGCCAAAGAAGGAAAAATGAAAAATCCCTGTTGTGAATCAGATAGAGCACCCTACAAAATGTTTATCCTAATCTTCACCCCAAGGTTATTTGGTATGCAAATTTGACTTTTGTAATCCCCTGACCAAAACTTGTACTTCTTCTGAAAGACTGTTTACCAGATTACTTTGTAGGACTTTTAAACAGAGTTGGATTAGGCTGTTCTCTTTCCAAAGTACAGTTTGATCAGAAAGTATTTACATGGAAAGAGTGTGGTAGACTTTATTATTTTCTGGTACGTAGGAATTTTCTCTCTTAACCCTTGGAAACTTTATGTTCAAGTAAAATCTCATGTTATACTAATCAGAGAAAATACTTAAGTAATACTTACAGTAGCTGTTCCCTTCCTGGTATAATCTGAATTATGCACTTCTTTGCGGTGGTGACAGTGAGGACCCTAGGCCTATCCCCAAAACAGTGTTGTGTGGCACCTCTCCATCTGGAGCCCACCTGATATATTTGACTGATCTGGTTGAGCTAGTTTTATATTATTTTGTTTTTTGTAATGCAGATGCTTACCGTTAAAAGCCAAAAGATCCTCTAGGTTTTTGGTTTTTGTTTTTACAGTAAACAATCAAGCATTGTTTATTGAGTACTCTCTATGTGCTAGATGCTAGTATACAAAGAGGTAACAATGGCCCCTGCCTAGAATCTGGTATACTGTAATTATTTTCATTCATCCTGTAAATAGTTACTGAGTTTTTACTATATGCAAGCACTGTGCTAGACAGTGTAGAGGATAGATTCACAAATAAGACAGAATTACTGTCTTCAAGAATTTAAAAGCTTTAGAAAAAGAGAGGAAGATGTAAACAGCTAACAAAGAAGAATGAAGTGAAAGTACCAGTGAAGAGCTGTGAAAATACCAGAGGACAGAGTCATTTTGAGTGGCGGGATCAAGAGTAATTCATAAAGGAGGTGGCATTGGAGCAAGGCCGTGACAGATAAGTGAGAGCTCAGTGATGAGCAGAGGGAAAAAGAGCATCACAGGGGTAGAGAACAATGTGAACAAAATTATGGAGTCAGAAGAGTATGGAGTCAGATCATGCCTGGGATACAGAGAGGAGGCTGGCATGGCTTGGAGCGTGGATTTCAGGAAATCATGGAGAGGGATGTAAAACCATAAAGGTAGGAAGAGGCTAGCTTCTGGAAGGCCCCCAATGCATGACAAAGCTTTAGGGAATTTTGGCAGTTGTAGGGAGTCACTAAAGGTTCATGAGGTCAAGGACAAATGAGAAGTTGTATATGGCATATGTAAAATACTAAGTTCAGAAAGCAGTAACTGTTAGGTAGCAGTCACAGATGGGCAGAGAGGAGAAGGTTTTTCATTCTAAGCCAGGTTAGCAGGTACCAAGGTATGGGGGAGTAGGGGGCCAGTTCCCTTAGTTAACTTCAACTCATGCTTGTGTGTATATTTTGAAGTTTTCTCAATCTACAGGGAAAAAAATGAAAAAATAGAACAGTTGAATGCAGACATACCTTATATTCACAAATGTAAAGAAAGAAAAATAAAATCAAACAGAAAATGAACTCTTATAGACAAAAAGGAAGGGGTCTATTTGTAGTTGTTTGAGTGTATAGCAGTGATCTTCCATTCAAACTTAAACAAAGAAAATAGTCTAAAATAGATGTGGAAGTTAATTAGGACCCATAGTAATGATCCCTCCAAGTTCTGATTTGTACATTGGAGTCAGTATGTTTTCAATCAATACCTCGTGCTTTGTAGGTATACAACAATAATAGTTTAGCAAAAAATAAAAAATAAGTAAAAGGATTTTGCAGTTGGTGCCTCTTGCCATGTATTTCTGTATTATCTTCTAGTTCATGCAGTTTGAGTTTTGTCAAAGTTAAAGAACCCCTTCATGAAATTGTAGGGAAACTGCTATCTGCTCTTCAAGGCAGTCAGACATGGATAGCATCGGCCAGCCGAGGACAGTTTCCTTAAAAAAAATTTTTTCTTTGTCATTGGATACCTTTCCTCTCTGTGTCTTTTTTCCTCCTGCTGGAACAGTTCAGAGGTTTATATTAGGTTGGAATCTCAAAATTCTAGATTTTCTTTGTCACGTGAAGTCTAACACTCCAAGATTGATTTATGTTCCTAATATTTAGAATAGAATGAGCACCAAACCAGGAGTGAAGATTCAGATGATACCTGTGTCGATACCTGGTGTCAATAAGTAGTAAATATATTCTCCAAAAAAGTTTTCCTTGATGCACATAATACTACGTCTTGTGCCTGTGTATACAAATAATTATATAGATGTTAGAATACATGTAGTAAAATTAGCCACAACTGAGTGTATAAAATAGAATAAAAATACTAACCTAAGATATGAACAAGCTTGTTAGGTTTGTGTTTTTTAAGTGTTGCAGTTAATGGTAAGTATGTAATTCAGGTGAGTTTGAGGTTTTACTTAATCCCTTTAGGGTTATTTAAAATAACCTTACCAGAACCAAGGAGGTTTCAAACAAAAGTATATTAACCTCTTCTAAATCGGTGACAACATGCACAACTGTTTTTAAAATCCACATCAGTGAATGCTGCTGATGAGAGTTTTACTTCAATAACCTGTGGTAGTAATTGAATGCCATCTGGTGTGGCTTGCTCACCACTTCAGAAGTTTAGACTGCATTTTAAATGGAAAGATAGAGCCAATATCACCCTGGGTTAAAAACACTTCCTACAAGTAGCTAGATGGTAATGTATAAAGCCAGTCCTTGCTGCTGTACTACACTAACGTTTCTAATGATAAATAGCGTTTAGCTTTTATTTGGTCTTTATCACTGATAGAGAGTAGATGACCTGCTAACCCCTGAAATAAATATGAGTATTCCCCTTTCACTCCCATTTCACATTTGAGGAGACAGTGGCAAGGAGAATAAGCCGTTCCTATGTTGTTGACTTAGAGCAGAGGAAACAAAGATTTGGGTGATTTTGATGACAGGCATTAATCAGAATTGCTGATGAGGCCAGATCATTAATGTTTTGGTTAAAAGAAAAAAAAAAAAAGATGTTAAAGGATTAGGTGATGTATGCAAGTGTGTATGTGTTTTAAGGAAGAAAATGGAAATAAAGAATTGCCTGTAACCAAACTTAGTACACAGGTACTTAGGTAGACACTGAAATAGAAATTCACAAGGGAATTTGTTCAGATCTGGGCGAGTGGGGTCCTTTTCACTGGCCTAGAGCACTGTTGTCCGACGGAACTTTCTGCAGTGTTGGAAATCTCCACCATCCAATTCGGTAGTCACTAGCCGCACGTGGCTGTTCCCCATTTGCAGTGTGGCTAGGTAACTGATGAACTGATGTTTCCATTTAATTTTGTTTTAATGAACTTAATTTAAACAGCTCTAAATGGCTAGTAGCTACCAAAATGGACAGTGCAAGTGCAAAGTAAGAAGGAAAAGGTGGGCTAATATCCAAATCAGAACCAATAAGTTGGACCAGATAAATTTTCATGTTCCTGAAATGTCTGTATCTTGAGTGAGTAACTAGTAACACTAGATAGTTGTGTATGCTGTGTAACTGGCTCCTTTAATTACTCTACTAAATAGTTCAGGGAACTAAAGCTTCAAAGCTCCAAGAGCTCTTACAGAGCATCAGTCAAGTCCTCTCACCTCAGTTCATCCTCTGATCTATAGGGCTTTTTGAAACTCAGGTGTTTGTTTCTACCTTGTCATGTTTCACTGGATCTTTGATCACTACTGCAGCTGTTCTCCAGAGTAAAGATTATAGGTAGTAACTCATATCCCTTTGGTATCACTATATATTTTTTGGTATTTACTATACCGGTTGGTTTTATTATCCATTGTTTGGGATTTACTGCCTCTGAGGCAACAGTTATACTAATCCTCATATGAGGTTCCCTTCCACCTCTGCAGGGTGACACTCAAAAGAATGAAAAGATACTGTCCTTTTAGCCACACCTTTGTGTCACAGAAGGCAAATAATCAGAATTATATGATGGCTTTCTTCCTATTGATGAGGTTGTAGCAGTTAAGGATAGAGATAGTGCTTGCTTCATTGATTTGCAACTTGTACAAAGTTTAAATTAATTGAAAGCAAGCTAAGAATAGGAAAAACCAGAAGAAATAGGTACACTCATATTCTGTATCTATAAACCCACCCCAGCCCTGGTTGGTGTGGCTCAGTGGATTGAGCACCGGCTTGCAAACTGAAAGACTGCCAGTTCAGTTCCTGGTCAGGGCACATGCCTCGATTGCGGGCCAGGTCCCCAGTTGGGTGCCTACGAGAGGCAACTGATTGGTGTTTCTCTCTCTCTGTTTCTCCCTCCCTTCCCTTCTCTCTGAAAAATAAATAAATAAATTCTATTTTAAAATGTGATAATAATTTTTAAAAAATAACCCACCCCATTCATTGTTGAAAACCTTGTACCCATCCCATATTAGTTGCAGTTAATACTGGGAGCTTGAAACTAAATTGAGAACTCTGACAAACTAGAAATTGTTTTTCTCTGTAGTAAGATATGTGCTCTGCGTGCACAAAAGAAATGTTGTTATATCGAGAAACTGGACTGATTATGAGAATTGATTGCTTTGTTTTCTGCTGGGGGTTAGCAGCATATTGTTTAGTGGGATCACACTTCAGCGTCCTAATTCCTGTTCTCCATGTCTCCTAGAAGACTGTAACTACAGCTTCTATGATTACCACAAAGACACTACCTCTCGTCTTGAAAGCAGCAACTGCGACCATGCCTGCCTCTGTTGTGGGCCAGAGACCTACCATTGCTATGGTGACCGCCATCAACAGTCAGAAGGCTGTGCTCAGCACTGATGTGCAGAACACACCAGTCAACCTCCAGACGTCTAGTAAGGTCACTGGGCCTGGGGCAGAGGCTGTCCAAATTGTGGCAAAAAACACAGTCACTCTGGTAAGCCAGCAGCTGCTACTCATGTGTGCCCACATGAGAGGGTTCAGGATATGCGTTTGTAGAGTATATCCATTTGATGCTCCTGCTGGATTTTTCAGTCTCCATCACTCTACCACACCAAATTCCCCTTGGGGGCTGAGTAGGGAATATAGCTTTCCTGCTGTCTACTCAGATAACGGTAGAGGATTCCTGACAACAAAGACCAAAATCCATTCAGTGTGTCATCTGAGGCCAAAGCTTGACTTGACTTGAGGGGGAAGATGTCCTTCACAGAGGCATACACACTGTTTCATGTATCTCTCCCTCCTATCCGTGGCCCTTCCTGTGAAACATGAGTGCTTAGACTCTTTGGTGCTCTATTACTGCTTTGGCGAAGCTCCCTGCTGAATTCCGTTAGTTCACTGTCCGTTGAAATTGACTGCACCCAGGAAGTGCAGGAGTTAGTTGGGCACTTTAAAAATATTCAGGAAACTCACAAATTAACAGTATCCACGTTCAACCTCTTTTAGAAAAAAAGATCCCTTGAAGGAAGAGGTACTTGAACAAAATTATTCATGAGATTTTTAGGGTAAACCATTTAGAAACTGATGTTCTCAGAATCTTGGGAAAGGGTTTTCAAAAAGTTGTTTAAAATTTTGCTTCTAAAATGGCAGCAAAGAGTTCTTGGTGGCTTTTGAATGATGACCAGTGATGAGTAAAACTAGAGAGCAATGAAGTGAAGCTTCACCGCTTAAATAAACCCAGGAATCTTTAGAGAAGCAACCAGATAACTCAGCCAGATGCCAAGAGTTAGAAAATTCTTTATAGGAATAAAGCCATTCACTGTTAGGTTAAGCTCTAATGTTAGGAAAGGGCCCATTTAGCCAGGCAGCAAGTTTGATTTTACTTTGGATCCAGTCTTGACTTTTAAAATCCATAAGTGCAAGAGTTCTTGAGTATCAAAGGGAATTGTCTAAGTTGTGAGCCTGCAGGGATGTGAGGAAACACGTGGTTGGTTTACTCTGTGGGATAAAGTAATGCAGGTGGGAGAATAATACAGTTTCTTAAGGCAGTGTTAATTCAAATTAATTCTGTAATGAAAGCTTGGAGAAAATATTGTCTGATCCAGAGAACAATGATGCTGAAAATACTTTAAGAATGTCTAGCTTTGATATTGAACATTTATTGTCCTCTCTGGTTTATTTATCTTTCTCATTTTTTAGCAGGTTCAGGCAACACCTCCTCAACCCATCAAAGTACCACAGTTTATCCCACCTCCTAGACTCACTCCACGTCCAAACTTTCTTCCACAGGTGGGTAAGCCAATGACAAACTCCACGAGGGTTCGGTGGGACAGAAATCCTCACGGGCCCTTTCGATGCAGCCTGTAATGCTCTCACCAGCTCAGCTGTATTGAGACCCCACTCAGCTAAAGATTCCAGCTGCTGATTTCTATACCATGAAGAAGCTTATTTTATCATCAGGGTTTCTTAACAATGACCAATGGCAGTAGCAGGAAGGTGTAGGGACAGGACAATTTCCTAAATTTAAAAAAATTAAGATAACACCATTTTAAACCTTATAATGTTAACTTACTGGAAGAAGTTAGCCAAAACCTGCCTGCCAGTGGGGAAGGAATATAAATACCACTTTCTTTTTTTTCTATATGCCAGAGAGAGCAGGGACGGAAACAACAGCCAAACTAACTAGCTGAAACCATTCATTTCTGCTCTGGAAAGTGATGGCACTGAGCATCATACTTAGACACAGAAACTTGCTTATGAAGATTTAGACTAGGGGTTTACACAGGGGGCTTACTATGTAGTCCCAAGCAACTCAGCTTGCTCACATCCTGCTGAGAGTGTTCTTCCAGCAACTGGGCTAAGCTCACCATTCTCCTGGCAGCATCGCCCCAGTCCGGGTCTTGAGGGGAGTTGATTTGCTTGGTAGAAAGGCTGGTAATTCCTGTCCAAGGCCTCAGGTTTCAGGCAAAGAGAGAAAAGAAAGGAATTTTGTGGTCAGTGGCCGTAAGTGATTTCTGAACTGCCTATATGATTTTAATCATTTATCAGATAAATTCTTAATAAATACTTTGTGTTTCAAAAAAGGCGCTAAGCACTCTGGATATGGCAGTTTTCAAGACGGACCATTCCCTGCCGTCAGAGAGCTTCAGACACATGTACAGGCAATTACACTGTCCGTTCTGGGAAGTACAGGGTCGTCTGTGCACAAGAGTATTACAGAACATTTCCTTGAAGACTTGACATTCTATCTGAGGCCTAAAATCCTAGTAAAGTTAGTCTGACAAAGTTTTGGGGGTAGAATGAAAACGCTTCAGGCAGAGGGCAAAACATATACTTAAGTGGGGGATGGAGAAATGCCTGGAAGCTTGAGGAGCCAGAAGGGGGTTGGCGTGGCTGAGCACGGTGGGCCATGTGGCTACCTCTGCCTAAAGGAGGAGATAAGGCTGGAGAAGCCCACTGGGCCAGACCTGTGGGGCATTATGGGCTGTGTAGGAATCTGGGCCTTATCCCAGAAGCAGGCGGGAGCCATTGAAGCACTTACAGACAAGTACTTGGCATGATCAGATTTTTGCTTTAGAAAAATCCCTTCTTGCTACTGCGTGGAGAATAGATTAGAGGTTGTCAAGACTGTGGGGAGGAAGAACAGTTAAGATATTGTCAACAGTAATAATAGCTACTGTTCAGAGAATCTTGCTATGTGCTACTTGCTGGGTAGGCACTTACATGGGTTATCTATTTTAATTCTCTCAACAATCCTATGAAAGTAGGTACTGCTTTTTTAAATGGCGGGTCATGACTCATTAGTCAGCTGTGAAATCAGTTTAGTGAATTATAAGCAGAGTTCTTAAATAAAATGAACAAAACATAGTAGGAACTACTACAGCACATAGCACATGAGTATTGTTTCATGAAGTTTTTATTTTATAGAGGTAGAGATATATGTCTGTGTGTGTGCTGGTTACTGTGTGAAATGCATTTCCTACTGTGTGTCTGCAGCACCCCCCGCAGGGTCACCTTAAGTTTAGCTAAACAGCCAGACTCACGCTTGGCACTAGTCTGCTTAGAATGATACAGGACAGAAACCAGAACTTGCCAGCTTTTGCTCAGCACAGACGTTTTTCCTGCGTGGGAGTGAGTCCCTGAAGTAACCCAGAGAGCGTCTCTACAGCTGTCCAGGGACAGCTCTGGCGCAGGGAGGTCAGGACAGAGGGAGAGCCACTCCGGCATGGGAGCCTTATGCCTCACAGAAGCCAGACCCCATAACAGATCCTTAGGCATGGCTTTCTAGCCCCCGCAATGGACATGCCCAGTTATGAGTCACCCCACCTCAGGAAACCCATAGTATGGTGTCCCATCAAGTATTATAAATCTCCCCTTTCACAATAAAGGGTCATTTTTACCATAAGCAATGTTGCCCGGTAACATAGTTGACATTGTTACTTTTATCAGGTTTCCAGGAGAACAGAGCTAGAGAGTTAACTGAAGGTCAGACTCTAAAGCCTAGGGGGAAAGGAGTTTGCTCACAGGGTCACAGTTTAGAAAGTTTGCGAAACACTGGCTTAGAGAGATCAGGTATGTCGTCTGGTACACAGCTAGTAAGTGGCAGAATCAGAATGTGAACTAAGGCACGGCGAACCCCATGTTTTTAATCACAATATTCTGCCATTGCTTCAGTAAGCCGAACATAGGGTAAAGTCGTGGCAGCGCAGACAGAAAGCAGGACATATCTGAGCAGGATTTAGGAAGTAGAGATGGAGTAGGAAGCATTCAAGAAATTTATTTAGGAAAGGAAAGGCCATTCACTGAGGTGATGATTATAGGAAGAAAAGAAGCTTGGAAGGAGAAATTAAAGAGTTTTAGACATGTTGATTTTGAACTTCTTCTGAGATTTCCAAGTAGAGATGTCTAACAGGCAGTTGAATATGATTCTGAAGTGTAGGATATGTTGCTCCTAAGCTCCGCGTGTGGAGTCTTCAGTACCTAGATGGTAATTGAAGCCATAAGGTGGGTGGGAGTCCCAGGAGGAGTGAGGACACTGGGAAGAAAAGGGGTCCCAAGACAGAGTCCTGGAAATACTACATTCAGGACAGGACAGAGGAACAGGCACCCCACACGGAGACTGAGAGAAGGAACGGCCAAGACGGGGAGATAAAGGGCCACAGATGAGGGTGAATGAACTGAGGCTGTGAACAGGAAGGGATTTAGAATGTGAATTAATAAGGCCATTGGCAGCGTTGTTAGCGCACTCTGGGCACACAGTCTGGGTGGGACCAATCTCTGGATTGGGTGTTTGGCCTCAGCCTGAAAGAGGCGGCATGATACGGCAGAGGCGGCATGATACGATAGAGGGAGCTAGCTTTAGAATCAGAAGAACCTCCTTCCAGGGTAGCATGTGAACCCTCTTAAGAGCTGAGTATTTTATAAAATTATTTATCTTGAGATCTGTAGAAATAATAAAACCAAAGTGAGTATTAATATTTGTACTAAATAGCATTTCACATACGTAGTGTGGAAGATCTGACGATAACTTAGACTTACAGGAAGTTTCTTTAAGTAATACGATAATTGTTCTCTCTTTCCCCATAGGTTCGACCCAAGCCTGTGGCCCAGAATAACATTCCTATTGCCCCAGCACCTCCTCCCATGCTTGCAGCTCCTCAACTTATCCAGAGGCCTGTTATGCTGACCAAGTTTACCCCCACGACCCTCCCTACCTCCCAGAATTCCATCCACCCCGTCCGTGTCGTCAATGGGCAGACTGCAACCATAGCCAAAACGTTCCCCATGGCCCAGCTCACCAGCATTGTGATAGCTACTCCAGGGACCAGACTCGCTGGACCTCAAACTGTACAGCTTAGCAAGCCAAGCCTTGAAAAACAGGTACAGGCAAGAGTATGCACCTGCTTTGAGCAGTAGCCTTGCCATTGTGGCTGGGCTGTTTCTAAATACATCTTCTCAGGGGCTCTTTATCTCAGTACCATTATCAATTACCTGTTGCTTATTGTGTAATAATTTATTCAAAATGCAAAGGGGGCATTCTTACTAAAGAAAGTTGGGTTGCTTTTTCCATTATCCCCTTATGCGTAGATGGATTCAGAGTCTGTGTGAGTGAGCTCCCCCTGCTGGTTCTGAAGCAGAAATTCACAGATGGGTTCTGCTACCCCCAGTCAGTAAGCACAGATGAGGTAGTAAACAGAAAATGCCATACTAGTTTTGGCCCAATAACAGTCCAGATGAGGATAGAACTCTTAAAGGCAGGACGAATAAACAAAAGAAGGAGAGGGGTTTCACCTCAAAGATTTTTCCCTGGTTATTACAAATAATGAAAAGCCAAATGAAAAAAAAATTTCTAAAAATCATTCTTTTAACTCTAGCGAATAGACAATTTTAGCTCAAATATTGAAGCCTTTTATTTATATTTCTAAAAGCAGATGTTCCTTTAAAAACATAAGGCTAGAGAAATACAAGTAATCTCCCAAGATACCTCAGGGCTCTATGACAGAAAGACTTCTAAAAACATAAAAAAGGATTTATAGGTAGTCACCATATATTCTATTTAAAGAAAAACCAGTAATGAAAAAGAATTTTGCAAAGAAAAGCACCCTGTTTCAGAGTTGCTTTAAAAAGTCATTGACCTACTTCTAATTGCTCAGGCTTGAGTTCTCATTCATCTGAAAATAGTCTGGTGATCCTGAATCTTCTGCTTCTGGATGGCTGACTGTGATTCGAAGAGGCTGGCCAGATGGTGGGGGATGAGGAGGCTTTCTGCTGCCTTAGCCTTCTTGAACAGAGGAACCTTATGCACAGAACGCCTGGCTTTGTACCCAGACAGCTCATAAATGCAGCAGACCTTTCACTAAGAAGCTGGGTACCAAAATCTTGTGCTCAGACAACACAAGAGAACATGTCTCTGTGCCTTGGGAGCCTACTCAAACCCCAGGAAATGCTCCGAGGAACATTCAGAAATAAATTACACATATTTCAGATCAGAAGTTTTCACACTTACTGTCAGCAGAACTTCAGTATTAAAACATTGAATGTAGAATGCTCAATTTTAGGAGTTTGGGTAGAGGCACATTTAAAGATCATCTGCCCTTGTGTTCTGGGATAGCTCTCACAAGTACTGCTATAAGGACCCTTAGAAGTATAAAGAATGTGGTTTCAAAACACTGTCTTAGATCACTAACATTTCTCTTTGACCTCTTTTTTAATGAAGATATTTTTAGGAGACAAGAATTTTTTCAGTTTTATTTTTATATTTCTTGTTATTTTTTCTAATTACAAAAATAATACATACTCATTGTAAAATAAAAATTCAAACATTACAGAAACATATGTTATAGAAAGTACATCCCCCCCATAATCTACAAGTATGAAAAGAGTAAAATTCCCACATAATTTTACCTGCCCAAAACTTGTTTTAGCAGTGTAGGTTATATTCCTCCACGTATTTTCTATGCACATACTATCATTTTTAAAGCAAAATAATAATAATAATAATATAATTTTGTAACTTGCTCTTTTTCTTATTAGAGCTTACATGTCTTTTATGTCCTAACCTTACACATTATTAGAGCTTTTAATTTTAATATCATAGAAAAGTATCCATGAATTCTTAAAATAGTATTTTTTAGTGCCAAATTCTATGGCCTCTCTTCTTACTGACCTAATAGAGGAATCCAGTCATTGCTGTTTTAGGTTAGTAGGCGCCCTGACGTAACAGTCTTACAGGTTAGGTGACCAAGCTCAGTAAAGATGAGCAGCAAAGTTACCAGCAAGGATTCTCTGTAGATCGGACTCCGTTCTCAGAATTGTCTTTGGATTTTTCTGCTCTCCTCCTTCTTCATGTTCTACAGGGTGGGGCAAAAGTAGGATTATAGTTGCAAGTACATGAAACAGTTTATTTTTTTAATGTTATTTTTAGCATTCACATTCATTTTATTTTATCTTTTTTATTGTTCAAATATATTTGTCTTCATTTTCCCACCACCACTTTCCCCTGCTCCACCCACCCCACCTTCAATCCTTCTACACTTCGGCTTTGTCCATGGGTCCTTTATACATGTCCCTTGCAGTTCATTCTTTCATTATTTATTAAGTATTGTATTGTTCTCCATACGGACAACTATAAACCTCCTTTTGCCCCACCCTGTATGTAGCCATGAAGTACCACTTACAGCCTGCTCATAGAGTTATCAAAACCTGTTCCTAACAATCTCTGTGTGACCAGGCTAGGTGGGTTCCTTTCTGCCTCCTAACACTACTTTAGGGTGATAACATTCATTTCATAAAAGTATGATTATGTGCCAGCTGCTATGCCACACATGGTGTCTCAGTACAAAGGGAGATAAATCAAAGGCTTGGCCCTCACAGAGTTTAATCTCTAGTGCATTTGGAGCAGGCTTTGAGGCCCTGCCCCAGGGAGGAAGCATGGCAAGTTGGCTAGTTGTATAGAGTCAAAGACCTCCCACTTGTCAGAGGAAAGGGAGAAGGCAATGTTTGTTACACAATCATGGTCTCATTTCTTCCTCTGCCAGGTATCACCAAATTCCTTATCCACCCCTGTCTTAGCCTTCATTGGAAGCCACAGTACCTTGTAGCTCTGAAAAAAACGAGTGGTAGAGTTTAAAGAGCTTTGAGACTAGTAATATACTGTAGGCAGAAAAATAGACAAAGCCAAACTTACGTCATAGGCCCTGCACTACCGCCTTTTATGTCCTTGTCCTTTCCAGAACCTAGGAAACGGGGCTAAACACCTGTTGATGATGGAATGAGATAAAGTGTTTCAAGTCCGTTAGACTATGTCTGACACAGTTCTCAAGAGTTATGTTCGCCTTTTACTCACCACACCCTGTGCAACAAAGACCTCTATGTCTGCTCAAAGACTTAGCTACTGAAAAAATCCCAGGTTTTATGGCAAAAACTGCCAGATTGCCACCATTCCCCTACTTCCATATACAAGGTCTGTCCAGAAAGTATCCAGTCATGTTATATGAAAAAAAAGAAACATTTATTGGAAAAGATACAAGAAACATTGTACATAGGACAATGATGCCTCAGTCCTCTTCAAAGCAGGCACCTTGGGACCTCACACAGTTCTCCCAGTCACCATCAGCTTCCCTGTCGTATTTTCCTGAATCTCATCAATGGCGTTCCCTTTCAAAGGTGATTTTAGTTTTGGGAAGAGAAAAGCCATAAGTCACAGGGCACCAAATCTGGACTGTAGGGGGCTGAGTCACCTGAGCTGATGGTGAGTTGATTTTTCGCCAGAAAAATCTCCGTACAAGGTGTGATGCATGAAGTAGGCTCATTGTCGTGATGAAGCTGCCAAGCACCAGTTGCCCATAGTTGTGATTCTCTGAATCATCTGAATAGTTTCCGCAGGGAATATTCAAGCTTAATGCAAAATTTGATGCAGATTCCTTGCTCTAGTCGCTTAGTCATTTTGAATGCAGCGGCCACACAGTACACATGCTTGCTCAAGGTGTCTACCACCCCCACAGTGAAGTCGTTACTGTTCATGCATGTGCATTCCAGTCCACTTTCCTGGCTGCCAGGCTACATAGATGTTGTGCAAACTGTTCTTGTTATATTAACAATGGCTGGACTTTTTCTGGACAGACCTCATATGTCTTCCATAGGAACCTACACAGTATCCACTGAAAAAAGAAATACTTTCAAGATGAGAATGATATCTGATGTGTTACCCTCAGATCCCAGTCTTGCCCTCTTAGTAAACCTGAGCTGGTGACTCTACCTTCCATTTTAATACTGTCTTAGGGAAAATAGATCCAAGTGACCAAGCAATGGATTTTGATTTGCCTTCAGTTCACATTTATTTAACCTTAATTGATGGAACTGTTTGGACATTTATTTATTTGCTAGTTCCTGACTTTGATTATTCATGCAGCCAAATCTCAGAAGGTGAATTTGGAATTAAGGGTATAAAATGGTTAACTTAGTTCTACTCTTGTCCAGAGTTTTCTATTTCTATCTTCATAATACCAAAAAGAACAGGATTTACAAATTTAAATAGCCATGGGTGTGAAGCAAAAAATATAAATGAATAAAATAGGCTGGAATTTTTATTTTTCCGTTTTTTGTTGTTGCTGAAATTACATATTGTGATACTTCTATTCAGTTGTACAACTTATTTAGTGCAAATTACCAGATAAAATTTTACATTTCTTCAAGACTGGGGTTTATTGATGACTCCAAATTTGGAATCTTCAATTATGAAGTCAGGGAATGCATTCATGTCTGCTTTACCATACATTTAAGCATAGAAAGCTCCCTCTCATCCTGGCTGATGTCGCTCCGTTGGAGCATCATCCCATAGCTGAGAGGATTCCTGGTCAGAGCACATACTTAGGTCATGGGTTCAATCCCTGGTCCAGGTGCATTTGGGAGGCAAATGGTTGATGCTTTTCTCTCGCATTGACGTTTCTCTCTCTCTCTTCCTCTCGAAAAGCAAAGCAAAAAAAAAAATGTTCTCAGGGGAGGATGAAAAACAAAAATTAAAGGCTAGTCCCCAACAAAGGTTTTTTTTTTTTAAAAAAGCTCCCTCTCCAGCTCTTGCTGATTCCCAAGGCCAGTATCAACAGGTCTTCCACATGACAGTCGCTTAATTCCCTATCCTCTAATCTTGTCCACAAAGAGTTTCTGTGCAGGTTCCTTATTAGATGCCACAGCTCTAACAGCAATATTCCTCCACAAATGCACTGAGATTGCAGACTAAGTGACAGGAGAACCTGAACAGCCTGTGAAGAATCACGGCAGTTCTGTTACAGACAGGAAGCGTCTCGGAGACAGCCTGCTATTTTTCAATCTTTATTGGGAATATAAGTACAGGAAATATTCCACTTTTATTCTTAATTTCCTTTGAAATAGTAAAATAAGCGTGATAAAGTTGACCATGTGGGTGTCAAGAAGACAGTAGAAAGTGGAAGGGACTGTGGTAAACTGCAAAGTAATATATATATATTCCATCTCCAGGAAGTAACTACTACTTGACCATAGCCAATTTTTATCATAAGGAAACTTTTGCAAGAAAAGCCAGAAATCCAGGTATTTTGAGAAATCACCTAGGTTTTTAAATACTAGTAACTGTTTAAGTACTATGTAGGCAAAAAATATCTGCAGGGAAGCTTCACCTCTGGATAAAGGTTTATAATCTACATAGAGACCAAACTTTTAGCTTTATCCATTTTGTTTGTTTGTTTCCCAACTTAATTTTTTAAATTGAGGTGAAATTCACATCACATAAAACTAACAATATGGAAGTGAATAATTTTAAGCAAAATGACATAAAATGAAACCAGTTTTACCATAGGCTAGTTGTTATAATATACCACAGGAACTTGTTTATATCAATTAGTCTATAGTAAAAGTCATGGTTTCCAAGAACCTATTGATGACATTAAGTGAGGCCTTACTGTACCCCTTTAGATGCTTTCATCAGATACCATCTGGCAAGTCACTCTAGCCTAAGGTCGGCGGCAACACAAAAGTCAGCCCCTGTACCGTCCTCAGGGAATCACCCGACAGGTTGAAATGCACGACCATAAATTTTTGAGAACAAGGTCCATATTTCTTCCCCTGCACCAGCAAGTTGTACCAGGAACACGGGCTGCCATCCCCACAACCTTGGCCCAGCTAGGGAACGGGGTTTGTAGGTAGGTAAGGAAAAACATTTTCTTAGTGAAACGTAGCAGCCTCATTCTTAAGTGCCTCCCTCGTTGCAATAAGTTTTTTAATTAGATTCCAGAATTCTAAAGAGTTGATTCTGGTTTTGCCAGCTTAATGGTTGGTTCAGTAAAGGGTCGGTTCTTGAAGTCCTTTCTTCTATCATTTCTGTGATGTCACTCCCCGACCCTAGTGGCTTTTGTTTGTTTTAAACAGCTTAAAACAACAAACATTCGTTGTGTTGCACAGTTCCTGGGGGTCAGGAATCAGGTTGCGTCTTAGCTGGGTGGTTCTGGTTCAAGGTCCCCCAAACGTTTTCATTCAAACTCGTTGGCCAGGCTGCAGTCATCTATCTCAAAGACTTGACTGGAGCTGGATAATCCACTTCCACACTTGGCCATGTGGTTGTTGACAAGAGGTCCAGTTCCTCAGCACGTAGGCCCCTCCACAGTGCAGCTTCCACCATGGCGGCTGGCCTCCCCTAGAATGAGAGGTCCATGAGAGAAAAATGCCTCTCTAGTGGGGTTTTTTTTTAATGCTTTTGATATTTTTTATCCAACCCCAAGACAATTGTATTCTTCTGCATGAAATAGAAAATTTGAACCCTGGATAATGCCTTAGCAGAGAGGAATTGGTTTGTCCTTCCTTGGAAGAACCACCACCCTGTGCTTTACTCAACCTTAAAGATTGAAGTGACTTCAGGGAACTCCAAGAAGCCCTGGAGTGGAGCAGCACACCCTTACGGCCAACCTCCTCGTCTCCCTCCTCCCTTAGGTTCCTATCCTTCCACATTAAGAGAGCTATGGAAATAAGCTCTCTAAATTCCTTAGGTATTTTATTTTCAGTGATAAAAAGTTGTCAAGAACTTAAAAATGCCATTATAAACTATTTTCCCACGTGTTCCCTTATAGGTGTGTTTGATGGTTTGTTTTATGAAGTAAATGTGTCCTTTTTGGTTCAAAAACTTGTGTGGGGTGAGAGGAGATACGAATGATTCTCCTGATAGGTGGTGCTCCCCACTCAGAAGATCAGCATCCCTTTACAGTGTATTTACAGTAGACCTGCTCTACCAGAGGCACTGTACGAGGCGCACAGGGCTGCGCAGGTGCATAGAACGATCCCTGCTGTCAAGTAGCTTACAGTATAGAGGAGGAATCAGGACAAGACACTGGTTTAAAGAAAACAAGGTAGCACTTGTACCCCGAAACAGATACTTACGCTTTCCTAAAGTAACACAAGAAACAAGGAAAATACAGAAGCAGCCAGGAAAGAACGTAAAAGATCTTTGTGATTTAGTTTTTCAGATCTTGTAAAATTTTTCACAGCATAATGATTTTTGAGAACTTCTGCTGTCTTGCCTGTAGGACCAAAGTCTCTTATTTGGCTCCTGCTCATCAATAATCAGTTTCATTCTCACTTATTTAATCACTTGTGTTGCCATACAAAGAGACCGTTGGCATCTGCTTTTTTAATTTTGAAAAAGTAAATTAGGTTCGTGTTTAGTTTTATATCCACTGTTCTAGCATCATTCCAGTATTTACAGAGGGCTTCATAAAATGAATTATCCATTGAGTCATGATAAGACTAGTAATGCAAGCCCAGTCTACCAATTTCCTAGCTGCCATTTGTGTTTGAAGATGATAATGCTACTGGTGTTGCTTTTGTTTGACTGGCATCTGGAAGACAAGGTTGCAGGCAGTCAGGATGTCAGCGTCTTGCAGGATGACCTTCCCTTGGCTATTGTAGCTCTAATGGATGATGCAGGCAGGTTTTAAACATCCCAGGTGAGGGTAGTTCTGCAGCCTTTTTTAGATGATGATTATGATTAGAAATGTCCTGACATAGAAGAGTGTGTACATAAGATTTTTTTTTAACATTATTCAGATCTTAAGCACACTGTGGACTGGAGCTTGACCCATATGTAACACTCAGAGTGGGCTTGCTTTTGGGAAACTGCCCCTACATTCTAAAGACATTAAAATCAGAGTGGCCTATACTTGATTTTTATACATAGGAATTAAACTTTACTTTTATACATAGGAATTATACTTCTTATATATAAGAAAAGATTTTTCTTTTTGTATAATTTAAACTATTTATTTATAGATTTATATTTACTCTAGTTAATACAATTTAACCAGTTCAGCCAGGGCCTTACATTTTACAGGGCTTTTCCTACTTTATTTACTGTGTTTCCATTTTAAGTATGTTCTTGTTCTTTTTCTTGTTGACTACAGACGAACTGGTTTTAGTCTTTTAATGAAAAGTGAATTCTGAATTTTCATTTACTTTTCCTCTCCTAGACAATTAAATCTCACACAGAAACAGATGAGAAACAAACAGAGAGCCGCACCATCACTCCGCCTGCTGCCCCCAAACCAAAACGGGAGGAGAACCCTCAGGTAGGCACCCCCCAGAGGCAGGGCTCGGCCTAGGAGATGTGGCGCACCCTCACACACCGGGACGGACGCTTGCTCCTGAATCACTTTACTTATCTTGTCTTTTGCCTTCTCACTGTTCTGTAATGTCATTGGCAAGTCAGATAGGTCTAGGGCAGACTAAGAGTATGGCCTTGAGTGTCCATGAGCTGATGCACAGGCATTTCATACACGTGTTACAAATTTGAAATGTAAGATTAGTGATTATTTTCCCAGGTACCCCGTTGCATTTCTAATGATGATTTGTTTTGTTTGTCTCAGCCAACATTTATAAGGTGTTCAGTTCACTCAGCAAACGTCTATTATGTTATCGATTACAGTTATTACATGTGCTTTTTGTTATTAGGGTTGTATTGCACTGGATTCCCAACTCCCAGGTGAACCAGTAGCTGAAAAGTAGTTCATGGAAGCATAAAAGTAGGGATGAAAATAGTAACATCTGTACCACAACTTAGAGTAGAATTATAAACTTAAATAGCAAACAAGACTCCAAGTATAAATGTAGAATATGAATTCATACGTCCCTAGACAAGAGAATTTTTAAGTTTGATAATTTTGCATGAGGAAAAGTGAACAGGTAATATGATGAAGACTCTCCAATAGTTAGATTTTATTAGACCAGTAATCCATTTCCTTCCATCCTCAGTGCATTCTCTGTAGTGAAACCCTATCGTATAGTGGCATGAAGCCATCAAAGCTTCATGTCATTTCTTAAAAACAAAACAGTGACTTATTAAGCCAGTTAAGCTTGTTTTTCTAAAACAAGTACAAATTACAATTCTTTGTGATATAAAATGGATTAATTTTTAATTTATCGTAAGGAAGGGACCAAAACTTGAACCATAAAGAAGTACTAGTCATGCAAATTGCTGAGAAACTTGTAAAATCATCCATAAAAATAATAATAAGTATTATGCTTGGGGGAAAAAAAATTGAGCAAGCTTTGAGCAAAATTTCCTCATGAGGAGAAACTGAAGGACACCTTAGGTCAGTGGCTCAGTGGCAAGCAAGTACCAGCCGCCACATGCGGTAGCAGGTGTGTTACCGTCTCGTTGGTCAGAATCCCTGCCTGAATGAGAGTAAACTAGTTCTTGGCCTACGTGTGATACACAGATGAGACAAAAGTTCTTGACAACATTTTACTTTATCACTGAAAATCTGCTTCAAAAAAAGGACTTCTTTTTTCCATTTAATGATTCTTTGTGAGCTCCTGATCCAGACTGGCAACGATGAGCTGGATGTGAGCAGCCAAGAGGGGTGCTGTCACTCAAGTACAAGGAAGCGTGTCTGGGTGTCAGTCCTCGCACTGCTTCGTTAACAGAGAGCAGTTGGTAGATAGCCTTCTGATCATGATTAAGTTTTGAATGACTAGTGAGAATTAGGAATGTAGTTATTTGGCAGCTGTAAAATGTATGCGATTTCCATGTACAGAGCAGAATATGGGCAGCATGCAAGACTGCTTGTCCTTGCCAAAACACTCTGGCTATCAGGGGTGAGGTGCCCACCTAAGTTTGGAATAAGAGGTCAAATAATAACATTTCTTCAGGACTCTAAGGATATGAGTAAAGGACATCTTTATGTTCTCTAGTGGCTTATTCAAGAGACTGTATCTTCATAAAGCTCTATCTTGAGTAGCCCAAACCTCTCACATCAGGCCAAAATATGATATTTAATGTTGAGAATGAAATGTCAGGATTTTTTAAGACCAAACTGTGGTATAAATAATTCTATAGGAGTTTGTCTCCTGGCAATTAATGATATTCTCTGTTCAGCAGCATAAGAAATTGGTGATGCATTATTTAGCATATATAGGAACTGCGTGCAGTGGGGCAGTGGAAAATGAAGACCTGTTTTCCAGACCACATTCAACTAGAGAGCAAAATAGACAGCAGTCTGTTGCTGTCTCCAACTTTAAGCTAATGTTTCAGCCCTGGGGTGCAGTATCCTAATCAATCTAGTCAGAGAAAAATCACTCCTAATTTTTAGGCCTGTATTTGAATGAAAAATCATGGTATTAAGCAGAACCACCTGCTATCATTCCTAAAATTCATTAGCTTTGGGTTAGCAATGTCCAGTCAGTGCTAGCAAAAATGTAAAAAACACTGACTTATCATGACAAGTGAGCTACTTAGAATTTGAGCTTGTTGTGTGGGAGGATCTGCATGTTTTTCAAATATGATATCCTCTCCTCTCTAAGAGGATTTTTTTTGGTGGGGGGGAAGAAAACTTGGATCACTCAAGACGCTGATTTCTGTCATTGAGAAAGTAGATGTAGGCCCTCGTCCTTCTTTTTTTGGTGTAAGACAAGAGAGCCACAGGGCCTATCTTGGCTCCATAGCTGTTAAGAGTGGAGGCTGTCCCGCTGTTTGTTCAGCTGAACTTGGCCTCTGATAGCCACCAGCCTATTGGGCTGCCATTCCCTAGGATTCTAACTAGGAGCATGCGATTGGCTTTGTGAGAACCCAAACTGAAGCATATTCATCTTTTGTTTCTTTGGCACAGAAACTTGCCTTCATGGTGTCTCTAGGGTTGGTAACACATGACCATCTAGAAGGTAAGAGAAGATATTCATGATGTTGCCTTGCTTCTGGCTCAGAGCTGTGCTCCTAAAAATGGTGTTTGATTGTATCCCTGGAATAGAAAACTGAAACACAGCGTATAATTCAAGCACTGTGGACTTTATTTCCTTTAGAGTAAAAATTGCTATTGTTCAGCCCCTTCCCTTCCTATCATCATGTATCCACACTACTCCTGTGGGCAAACCACCCATTTGCCTGGATTAAGGTCACTTTCATTCACTTAGAGGTGTTTTTCCCTAACAGCATGAAGTAGCAAATACCCCTCTCACTTTGTATTTTTAATCACTCTTGGTTATCAGAGTCTTAAGAACAGTTACAAAGCAATACCTATCTTGGTTTTCAAATTGAAGAATGGTGAACTATGGTTAATTCAATGTAGGTCCATGGATAAAGTTCACCCACACCTATATTACAGCCATCTAAAAATAAATTGGGACGCGTTGTTTACAAGTGTTGTCTGCCATTAAGCTCTCAATCACAGAGAGCCTCCCTGTAGGACAGCGTGGTCCTGCCTTCCGAGAGGTGACAGTAGACTGTCCTGTGTATTTGCTGCTAGCAGTGTGCTTGCCTCTGCTGAGACTACAGTGAAAGACATTGTCTCCCATTTCTGATTTGTCATGGGAAAACCGATAGTTAAAACAATGAAGCTAACTTTTTGAGGTTCTCCATATCTCTCTTCTAATTCAAACATTTTGCTTCCCCAAGAAATCCAAAGCAAGAGGCAAGAGCGAAAAAGAAGAACAACAGCAAACCCAGTGTACAGTGGAGCAGTCTTTGAGCCAGAGGTACTCCCGGCCAGCACTTGGCCCTTCCCTCTCTGTTCCAGTTTTATTTATGACTTGTTCAGCACCTCCCGTTTGAAAACCTGCTTAAAAGCAGTACCCTTATTGTGCTTGCCCAGCTTTCTGAAATGATGGATTTTTTTCCTGACTGATTCCATTATTTCATGTTTATTATTCACTGCTTTCCCTTTAGTTTTTTCCTAAGTTTGAACAGATACAAACCTTCCTTAAAAATCTAACTCATCCTGGCTTCAGCTTAACTGTCATCTGAAGCAGAGGAAGACCTCTCTGGAATATTAGCTCCAAGCCAACTTTATGTATTAAAATATGTTAGCGCTGAGACCTTGAGGTGACTGGCACTAACTGATTGGATGTTGACAGGCATGCTGTGCTTGGTCTTTAGCTTTTGCCATTATTCGTAGTAACCATGATATTCAACCAGTCATGTTTCCTTCTTCAACCCTCAAAGCGAAAGAAGAGTGCAGTCACATACCTGAATAGTACAATGCATCCTGGGACCCGGAAGAGAGGTGAGTCCCTTTTTGTATCTCGCCCTTGCTGTTGCCTTTGCTTTCTGTGTTGTGTTTCTTCCCTCTCCCCTTGAAAATAGTTTTGTTGTTTTTTTTTCTCTGAGAATGGGGGCAAAAGAGAGTGAGATTTCTTATTAGAGTTCTGTATACTGAATCAAAAGCTGCCTTTCCTGGTAGCAAAGCTGACTCAGGGGAATGGCTTAATGCAGCATTTCTGCCGCCAGCCCACCAGGCCATCCAGGAATATAGCACAGGGAACAGAGCACTGTGTGAAAGGAAGCATTTTAGCCTCACCGAGCAGAACGTAGCGCTGCCGCCGCCAAGGTGCTCTTAGCAGTGTCTAACTCATCCTGCTGCCAGGGAGACCAGAGCTCCGTCGCTCTGACGTTTCCGTGAGCTGCAGGCTTTCCAGGAAGGAGCGAGGTAGCCACAGCAAAAACCTGGAGTCTACGAGGAGAAAAGGTCACTGTCAGAACAGGCTTCCAAAAGCAGAAATCCCTGAAGCGCCCCGCCCCCATATTGGACCTCCCCAGGGCAGGCGCCCCACCTCACTCTGAGGGCAGAGACACCGCAGCAGCAGCAACTCTCACTGTGCCGGTCGAAATAGGTCTCAATAGCTCGGAGTTTGAGCTCATAAACAAGGTTCTGAAATTGTTCTTCGATGTCAGTAATACATCCCAAGGTCCCTTTCTCCACATGATAATGTGTCCCTGAATTATAGTTTCAAGCTAGAAAGGTTGCAAAGGGAGTGGAGTAGCATACTAATTTTTGCATATGCACACACAATCTCAGAGCTACCGGAAGCTTACGAGGTCATCTCGACCCTTTGTCTGCCTTGGGGAGGGCTGCAGCTATACCACTGCCACCTCCACCCCCAGAGAGCTAGCGTACCCACCCTTAGTGACCCGTTCTCATGTTGCATCAGCCCCGTCCTTCAAGCGATCAAAAATGTTTAGATGAGAAACCCTAAGCCATTGCTTCATATCAGTTCCTGGGCCACAGTCATCAGTGTCATAGGTTATTTCGTGTTGTTTTGTTTTGAGCGATTTTGAGTGACCTCTGACACAGTTCTCAGAAAGGAACCCCCAGCCAGAAGCCACAGTTTACTGGCCTGCTGGTGGGCTGTATCTGCTGCGAGGACAGGGGTTAAATGAGCCAGAAAGACCTTGGCGTCTTGTGCCAAGGTCAGAGGACGAAAGCCTGCATTCCCAGTGCCTAGGATATGTCTTCTGTGGGTAAACAAAGAGCATTCATCTTCCACTTCTCCTTCTGGCAGCACTAAATTCCCCAGAAAGGACAAACCAGCACGATCTGCCTTTGTACTGCAGACATTCCCAGTTCAGCACTGATAGGTCATGTTTGTGTTATGTCTGACAGAATCAGGACTCCTGTGCATAATTTTGGTATAAATCATAACTGCTGGCAAAGTCACGATCCTACGTACCTTCCACCAGTGCTTGTAGGCAGTTGTATACTTCTCTGGCTCTTTTTTTCCTTTGATGTTCCAGTCATATGCTTTAGTTCACTCACAGCTTATAAACTGGGACCCTGGCCTTAGAAGACAGGACCCTCTCAGGCAAGAGTGGTTGGCCTGGACTTCCCACACCCTTTAGGATTCATTTATTGATACGCTGTAGCCATGAAGTTTGATTCAAAATACTCTTGCTCAAATCAGGTCTCTCAGTCAGCAGTGTTGCTGATGACGGCTTTTCCTAAGACTGGGAGTAGCCCCAGTTTGTAGACACGTCGTTCACCAGAATGTGATAGAAAGCGGGGAGACAGTTCTTGATCAACTGGGGAGGACACCTGAGTCCAGACCTACTTAAATTCATACTTAGGCTCAGGGCATCTTCTTAGCTCTTAGAACATAATCTCTCACTAGCTCCACCAGCAAGGAATAAGAATAGTTCATTTGAATTTTGTCTCCTTGCTTCACCTTTCTCCATCCTTATAAGCAGTGAAATGGCCAAAATACAGGCAGGAGAGAAAAGGAAAAGGAGAAATCCTAAATAAATGAATTTGAGGGAACTGAGAATCATTATTATTGTAAGAATGATGGTTACAGAGAAACATTAGAGAATAATATGCAAAAGATAAGGGAAAATCTCATTCCTGGCCTTGGCTCCCAGTGAGCTTTGGTTCTCGCATGAGAAATCTCAAATTGTAATAGTCTAGGAATGTCATTGTTATCTGCCCAAGGCAAGGCCCTTCAACATGACCCAGCACCTCCTGTCATTCTCCAAGCTCTCTCTTATCCTCCCTTCTTTTGAGGCTCATGCAGTTGTTTCTAATGACATTTAAATCTTTGCTTCTCTTCCTCTCTTTGGGACTGTTGTATTAACCTCTGTCTGCTACCTCACTTCCTTTTCCATGCTAGCCAATGAGGAACACTGGCCAAAGGTATGTAAGATCATGTTTCCCCCTTTCTTTCCCTCCCCCTTTTTTCCCTTTTGTTCCCTTCTCTTGGTATATAGGTCGTCCTCCAAAATACAATGCAGTGCTGGGGTTTGGAGCCCTTACCCCAACATCCCCCCCATCCAGTCATCCTGACTCCCCTGAAAATGAAAAGACAGAGACCACATTCACTTTCCCTGCACCTGTTCAGCCTGTGTCCCTGCCCAGCCCCACCTCCACAGACGTAAGTAACTCGGGAAAAGCTCACTGTCTTTCTGAGAGCTTCAATCGGGGAAACCGTTATCCTGTGTTGTCTCCTTACCAGCTGCACCTCCTTGACTAACCCTGGAACAGCAGTAACCCCTACAGGACACTGTGCGCCGGTATGGCCGCTACTGCAGGGGCCCCAGGGCCTGCTGTGTCCTTGAGAGCACGTGAAATACAACATCAGGAGGCTCAGTCGGAGTGTGCAGAGCCTGGATTCCTGTGCTGGGAATGAGTTCTCAGGAAGGAGGATGGGGCAGGCAGGCAGGCAGCTCGTATCACCGAAGGCATGCAGGCTTCTGCCATCCGTGTTTTGGAGCCAGGGAAGATGAACACGCTGTATGTTCCCCTAGTGGTTGTCGCTTCCTGCTTCAAGTAGAATTCAAGAAATGGAAGACTTCTCTCTAAAGCAGCTCTCTTTGGCAGAGTTGGTTAGAAACAGATTCCAGAAGACGTGTCAAACAGTTAGAAGTCCTTCACCCGGAAACTGTAGGAATGTCAGCTAGTGCCCTGAATTTTTAAATGAGCATTTACGTCAATTCAGTCACCACATATTCATCGAGTATTACTGTCTCAAGCAAGCACTGTTTTGGGGTCTGGGGACAGAATAGAGAACGAAGCCAGCTCCCTGTCCTCAATGAGCTCATATTTCGTGGCCAGAAGCAAGTGATAGGCAATGAGCATGTATGTCAGGGAGTGATAAGTGCTGTGAAAAAATGGGACAGAGAAGGGGCAGAAGCAGTTATGGCAAGAGGCTGCTCTTTTATGAAGAATGCTGAGGAAGTCTCTCTGATAGGGAGGGGAGTCCATGGGAGGAGCATCCCACAGGGGATCAGCGTCCCCAGAGGGAAGAGCAGTGCCGAAGCCCTGAGGTAGAAACGTCTGCGTGGAAGAAAGGCAGACGGAGCCGTGGGCGGGCGGGAGTGCTGGGAGGTGAGGCCTGTGGCTGTTACTGTACATGAAACAGGAGATCGCTAGAGGGTTTTGAGTAAGAGTGCAATGTAATTTTTAAACTTTATTTTGAAAACCTTCAAACCTACAAAAGAGTTGCAGTATTATCTGCAAGCCAATGTATAGCCTTCACTTAAATTTACCAGTTGTTACTATTTTGCTACATATGCTGTCCCCCACCCCCCACATAACATATACACATGCATACATATACATGCACACACAGAAGCATGTACACACGTACACACAAACACATACATAAACACACATACATACTTTTTTTGAACTAGTTAAGAAGAAATTGCAGACATCATGAATTTTCACCCAAAATACTTCAGTTTATATCTCCTAAGAATACAGATATTCTCTGATACAGCCACAGTACAGTTACCAAATTGAGAAACTTTAATATTGATAAAAATATTATTATATAATATACAATTTGTATTCAGATTGCTCCATTTGGCTCAATTATTTCAATTACTGCCTTAGTGGCACTTTTTCCTGCTCCAGGATCCAATCCAAGATTTCTCTTGATATTTGTTGACTCTGTAGTCTCCTTTCTCTGGGACAGTTTCTCAGCTTTTCTTTGTCTTTTGTGATGTTGATATTTTTAAAAAGCTAGGCCAGTTGCTATACGTGGAGCATCCCTCTATTTGGATATTCCCTCAGGAATAGATTCGAGGCGTGCATTTTTGTAGGAACACCAAACAAGTGGTAATGTGTCCTTCTCAGTGCGTCACAGCAGCAGGCATATGTTGTCAGTCTGTCCCATTGTTGGGGATGTTAACGTTTCATCTCTTAAAATAGATTCCATCAAATTCCTCCACTTGTAAGGGTGCCTGTTTCCGCTGATGGAGACAGCTTTGAGTCTGTGTAAATATCCAGTTCCCCAACAAACTGTTACCCAGTGGTTGTAGTATCTGTAGTATCCTTGATAGTTCTTGCCTGCATTTATTTTAAGGTGTTTGCAAAACTGATTTGGATTTTTAAAGGATCACTGTGTGAAATATGGAGAAGAGACTGTGAGGCAGAGAGGATGGAAGCAGGGAGACCAGTGAGGAGGCTTTGCAGTCGCCCAAGCAAGAGCCAGTGCTAGTGTGGCCTAACAGGGTGGTAGCAGTAGAGAAAAGTGATCGAGTCTGCATCTATTTTGAAAAGGCAGCAAGATGAGATAATGGGGTATGAGAAAAAGAACAGTCAAGGGTGAACAGTAAATGGCTGAAGCTGCCATTTACTGGTGATGATGAGAGGAGCAGGTTTCACATGTTCCATTTCTTTTGTGAATTACGGAGCTTGTCTTTAGGATCATCTTCAGGTAAAATATCCCTTAAATTTGCAGGTTCTTAGATTTACTAAAGGTCTGCCCCTCTCCAAAGAGCAAAAGAATACCACATGTGCATCCTAAGTTGAAATTCCAAAAGCAACAAAGGAAGTGTCCTCTGTGGAGGACCAGGGTCACGTAAGAGTCTGTTCTCTGACAGACTTCCTTCCTTGAACGTAGTTGTTGGCTATAGGCCCACCCCAGCTCTCAAGATCCAGCGTTGCGTCCAGCTTTCTTGACTTTTGGCGTTAGTAATTGATGCAGGTTTTCTCTGCCTGTCCTGTTAACCAGCACCAGGAGCCCCTGTGAGAAACCTTGTTTGAGGGTACAAAAGATTGTTCCAGCCTTTTCTCAGTTAAGGCATTGCCAAGGCACTGACAGCTCATAGCTTTGTGGTAGGGCTCCCCACCAGGGTGGCGCACAATCCTGGGAACTGATGATTCTGTGGTTCTGCATGTGAGTCTCTCTCTTAAACAGTGTTGTTTTTATTTTTTGGCTGAGGGGGTTTATAAAATGGTTTTCTTGAAAGGATCTACTCAGAATCCAGTCACAAACTAAAAGCTTCTGCCAGGTTTTGTGTAAAAATGCAAATACTATTCTTTTTAGAAATCTAAAGGCAGAAGGGAGCTTTTCTAAAACCACTAAATATGTTGATAACTTCCTAGGTTAAACCTAGTGGAGTGGATTTTTTTAAAAAAGATAATTGACTTCTACTTTTACAGTATCCCAACAGTGGTCGTTATTAAAATCGACACACAAGGCTCTGTCTATTGGCTGCAGGCTGGCATAAGCCCCAACAACATTCATTAAACAGTAACGGTTAGAGCCAGGCACTTCCTGGAGATCAATAACCATCTAGAAGGACTTGGTAATACAAGACACAGCTGGGCACTGATCCTCAGGTTGTGCCTTCTTGCCACTATCATCATTTTTATCAGAAGGGAAGATATGTTGACAGAGTTATACATTTTTTTTTTAAACAAATGATGAAGTTGCTGTTGATACAACCAGGGTGCTTCTAAAAAACATGTGTCCTCAGCTCCTAGCAAAGAATCATGAGTCAGCCATCTTTCAACTTACCATTTGGTTTATGGTCATAATTTGGTCAGTCACCAAATCCAAAGCCTTTTTGGTACAGCACCTCTGTGGGACCTCCTCTGCTCTGTTTAAGCAGAGAACCAATTCTGTGCAGATGAAATACGTATCTTACCATTTTATATTCATTTCTATGGGCAGTAGTTCTCAAGTATGGTCTGGGGGACGCTGAGACTCTTTCGGAGGGGGCCATATAATCAAAACTATTTTCATGATAACACTCAGCCATTCTTTTCCAGTTTCACTCTCATTCTCTCAAGAGTGGACAGTGGAGTTTTCCAGATATTACGTGCCAGGACGATGGCCAGTGGAGAGTGCACCTGCGTGTGCTGGGGTTGCAGATTTTTTCAGTGCACTAGTTTTATAATACAGAATCACTTCCTGTGATTCTACACTTACTTCAAAACTAAGTTTTAAAACTTCTAACACAGTAAATACCAATATATGTAACTCCCATAAACAAAAGCTCTTGAGGTCCTGCGTAATTTTAAGAGTGTAATGGGGATCCTGACACCAAAAAGATTAAGAGCTGCTGCTATGGGCTATGTAAAGAGGACAGAAGTTTGTTTTTCCCTTTAGCAATGTGAAAGAAATTGTTAAATTTTTATTTTATGTACTCTCCGCCCTCCACTTCTTGAGGTTTTCCTTTTTCAGGAGCAAAGGAAAATGAGTAGAACTCTTTACCCAACAAATCCCTCTGAATAGAATGTCCAGTTTGTCTCATTTACTTCATCACCGATAATTTTATCTGTGGTTCATGTAAAACACTCTGAAACCCTAAAATTTTTATCGTCTTCATAAAGATGCAGACCCCCAACATGGGGCTAAGGTTCAAGAAAGACTATGTCTCTGGAGGAGCGCGCCCCGCGCCCAGTTCTAAGAATGCAGCAGGGGTCAGAGCTGGCCGCGGGGTGAGACCGCACCGCTGGCGTTGCCCGCAGTGGCGCTGTCGGGCTGTGTCCTCGGGCAGCACTTGGGCACATACACTGAGTGTCTTTTTCACTGCCCAGAGGTAACATTTTCTTACAAAGAAAAGTTAAAATCCAACCACACTCCGATTATCTACGACTTTCTTAGCTGGTTTTCTAGGCTGCTGGACACCCTCGTGAGTTACAGAGAAAGTGTCCTTTCCTGGAGAGAGAGGGCAGGCCTGGAAAGATACGCTCCTCCCGCGGTGGCGGAGGAGGGGTTATAAGCAGGGAAAGGGAGAACTGAGTGTTGCTGTCTGTGCCATTGCTTCTTGTGCACAGTTTCTGAGTTAGGCCTTTTGGCAGCGTAGCCTGGAAATCGCAGACAGCACCTTGGAAGTGAAAAGGAGTCCGGTCCCAGCTGTGGCGGCGCCGCCTTTGCTGGCTCACCCTGATGTGTCCCTTCAGCCTTCCCATCCCCAGTGTCTTCATCAGCAGCATGAACTCCGTTCAGAGAATAGGTCGGGGATTGACTTGCTGAAAAATACCTATTTAATACCCCTTCTTCCTTCTTCAGTGTTCTCCTCTCCAAATTTTAAATAGATCTTCTTTTTTCCCCTCACGCTGCCTTCTGTTGAGACGGCTCCAGCAGACTTGCCTGAGTACTAGCCCTCACTGGTGGGGGTGGGGAGGCGGTCTAGGGGACAGGCAGGGTGCACAGAGGTGCTGTTCTCTTCTCACCTGGTGAAGCAGTTTATAGGGAAGGCTAAAGCCGCCCAGAATAGAACGGTCCATTGAACAGCAAATGCCAAATACTGGTTTTAAGAGAGAACATCATCAGCTGTTGTCTTGGTTTTTAAATCCTTCATATTAGAAAGCTTACATAAGTTTAATTGGCTCCTGACTTAATCTTTTCCCATTTGAACTTTCATGGTATTTTTTCTCCCTGAGCAAGCAAAGAGTTCAGTAAAATTCCATTTCTTGTCTGTTGTCATTCTCAGTCCTTCTAAATTTCCTCCAAAAATGATAGGTAATGAGAATTGTTTGTATCATTGTTTTTTGAACACTTTGATAAATGGGGTTTAGTGTCTTTACACTTTCTGATTTGTGGGTTGGACTCCACCAAAACATAATAAATGCTGAGCTGTCACCTGTTAGGTTAATTGTGGTCTAGGTGGCTGCAGAGCTTTCCTATAAAGTCTACCTTAAAATTAAGAAGTCTGGCCCTGCCCAGGGAACCTCCCCTGTCTGGGGCAGGGGGCCTGAGCCATTGGTGCTCTTCCTGGATACATGTTAGAGGGGGCAGTGCAAATTGTCCTAAAGCATGTGTACGTATCCAGAACGTATGTGTTAACATTCACACTTTACCTTTTTGTCCTTTCTCTTACCTTTCTTCTCAATTTCATAGGGTGATATCCATGAGGATTTTTGCAGCGTTTGCAGAAAAAGCGGTCAGTTGCTGATGTGCGACACGTGTTCCCGTGTGTATCATCTGGACTGCTTAGACCCTCCTCTGAAAACGATTCCCAAGGGCATGTGGATCTGTCCCAGATGTCAGGACCAGGTACTTTGGGGGTCGGACAGGGGGGTGGGGCCAAGGAGGAGTAGGACAGTGTGGTCAGGAGGACTTTCTTCCCCTCAGATCTGGGGGAGGGTGTGCCTTCCCTGTCCCGGTAGTTCTCTAAGCCACCGCTGCCCTGTTCACAGCACAGTCATCGCCCCCTGCCGCCCCACCCCCCGCGGCATCTGTCCCCTCGGAGGTTTTCTGTCGTTAGTGAGGCTGTGACTCTGTGGACAAGTGGAGACACTCTAACTGCTTCCTTTTACTTGAACTGACTCACCATCCCACTGCCTTGACCCTTAAAAGTCCATAGGGCTGCTTCATTCTCTTAGGAATGGTCTAAGCCCAGTGTATGATTTTGAAGCTCTTTTGAAAGTAAAATTCTTAAAGGCTCAGTTAATTGTTTCATTCAAATAACAGTTTTCACTTTTAACCTGTGCTGTCATCAGGATCAGAGAACTAACTGTAAAGTGATATCTCAACATTTCATGGACTTGAAAGGCAAATGTAGAATCATGCACTGCTTAGCAAAGGGATCCATTCTGAGAAATGTCATTAGGTGATTTTTGTCATAAGAACATCACAGAGTGCGCTTCCACACACCCAGCTGGCGCAGCCTGCCGCACACCCAGGCTCTGTGGTACAGCCGGTTGCTCCTAGGCTACGCGTCTGTACAGCATGTCACTGCGTGAAGCAACATGAGAGTAAATCAAGCACAAGAGAAAATGATGCAGTCGATAGACAAGGTAAACGCGAGATGTATGAGGCTGCTGTCGGTGCAACATGGCACATTGTTTACAGCAAACTTCTTGTTTTTAATAAGTACAAATGCATACTCTAAAATAACAGTGACTAGTATAGCAAATACATAAACAGTAACATAGTTGTCTGTTATCATTTTCAAGTATTACACACTGTACGTATGTGTATGTGCTGTACTTTCGTATGACTGGCAATACAGTAAGTAGGTTGGGTACACCAACAGCACCACGAGCACGTGAGGAATGTGTGTTCCACAATGTTGCAACAGCTACGATGTCATTAGGCAACAGGAATTTTTCGGCCCCGCTATAATCTTCTGGGGCCCCTGTAGCACATATGGTCCATCATTGACCGAGCGTTATGCAGCACATGACTGTATTATTAACTGTCCCAGCCTATTCCCTCCTTCTCTGTTTAGTTTCTGATTTCTTTTTTTCAATTATCCATATATCTTAATATTTTTATTATAAGTGGTCTCAAGTCTTTTCTGGAAGTAGGCAAATTATAAATAATAAATAGGCTCAGTAGCTCAGCAGACATTGGGATCCTGTTTGGTGTTTTGGAATTCTGATTTGAGAGAATTCTGGGTTTCCCATTTATTTGTTTGTTTGTTTGTTTGTTTATTTTTAGAGAAGGGAAGGGAGAGAGAAAGAGAGGGAGAGAAACATCAATGTGCAGTTGCATCTCATGTGCCCCCTATTGGGGACCTGGCCTGCAACCTAAGCATGTGCCCTATACCGGGAATCAAACTGGCAACTCTTCAGTTTGCAGGCTGGCACACAACCCACTGAGCAACACCAGCTAGGGCTCTGGGTTTCCCCTTTTAGCTTTTGTCCTCTTCCCTTTGTCTCCCTGATGTAGTTAGCAGAGAAAGTTCTCTCTCTGTTCTCTTCCAGTTGCTGTTGAGTGACCCTCTGATCATTTTCCACATGGGGTCTAGATGATACTTTAGTATTCAGAGCTGATACTTTATCTCCTTGCTCAGGCTGTCTTTGGGGGACATATAAAGCCAAAACTGAGACAGGCAGCACATACCAGGTCAAGGACGAAAGTGCTGTGGCTGTGGACATCGTGCAGACTTGCAGCTTATGTTGGTAGCTCTGGTTGTGGGGAGTCGTCGGGGTCATGTGGCACGTGTGAAAAGAGAGGAATGCCCAGCCAAGTCACAGCCCACTTCTAAGTCAGGAGCCAGGTAGCTTGGCTCTGCCTGCTTCATACCTCTTTCTTTTAGGCTGATACCTGCAATTTTGTAGTCCAGAAACTGTAGACCAGGGTTTTGTAACACTGCCACTGTAATCCTTCCTGGATTTTTGTCTGCCAGTAGCTACAAAAATTTACCAACACCATCGCTTGTAATTACCCAGCAGATTTGCATTTATACCTCCTTCTCAGGGTAAAATTCTAAAAATCTTTTCAGATGCTGAAGAAGGAAGAAGCAATTCCATGGCCTGGAACTTTAGCAATTGTTCATTCCTATATCGCCTACAAAGCAGGTGAGGAATTGCCCATCCCCCCTTTTGTGTAATCGTCCCTTGTTTAAAAAAAAAAAATTATTAGAAGGAAGTATTGCTTTGTTTTCAGAAGGAAATTTAAAGTTAAAAATGAAAAGCTTTTAGTGAATGAAGTGGAAAGTTGTGTAGCACTTTCTTGGGGAGCAAAAATGAGAAGTGGATCCTGTGTATGTAAAGCCAGGCCCAGGTCCCTGGCACGCCCCTTAGCGTATCTGTGCAGGTAGCGTGGACAGTCTGGGGGCCGGGGGCCGTGCGCTGGCTGCGGGGCTCCGGGGGGCTTTGGGGAAATACCTTTTTTGGCAATCATTCTGAACACAATGGCCTTTTCGAGGAATTTATTGTTAGAAACAGTTCCTTTTTTTTTTTTCAGCAAAAGAAGAAGAGAAACAGAAATTACTTAAATGGAGTTCAGATTTAAAACAAGAAAGAGAACAACTAGAGCAGAAGGTGAAACAGCTCAGCAATTCTATAAGTGTAAGTAAACCTCATGCCTTCAGTGATAAATACAGAGATATAGAACTTGCTGCGTAAATAACAGCTCACGTGGCTCGCAAGGGCTGGTTCGGATTCTTCAGCTTATTAACGCAATTAACTTGGGCAGATGTGAAGTTTGCCTCTAGTTACAGTTGGCTCTCAGTTGGTATATGGTGCCTTATACCATATGGCACCAAGTGGTCAGTTGGTATATGGTGCCTTCGCCGAGCCCTGGAACATCCTCTTGGTTTTGGTCTAAGAGCAAAGATTTCCAGTCTCCAAGCTGAAGAGGTAGATGTAGCCACCACGCTGGCGTATTCCTGCGCATGTTTGGGAGGGGTGCGGAGCCTCACCCGACACTGGGCAGATACAAACCAGGTCCCTGCATGTGCCGTCTTTCCAGTCCCCTGGGCTTCTTGGTCCATCCCCATGACCCTTCCCTTCCGCCCTCTCTTCCACACCATGCTGTTTGCATTTCCAAGTTTTCCTGAGCAGCCTGAGGAAGAGGGATTTCTAGAGACAAGTATGGAAATAAACACTGCCCTGCCTTCCCTGTCCAGGTGGGAAAGAGAGTTGTATTTGTAACAGGGATTCAGAGTCTCCTCCCAACAGGAGCAAGTTCATTTCCAATGAGTAGGTGCCCCTCTTTGGAGTGAGGTGGCCTCAGCCCTCTCAGACACTATGTGGTGTCCTGGATTTGGGGACAGCTGAGCTGTTCCACTCACCTGCTGTAGAACAGAAGCCAACAGGTGTGAGAGGCTGAGTGCAAAAGACTACAGGTGACCGAGCAGAAGGGGTCCTGTTGGCTGAATTCTGATTCTAATCATCGCTGTCCTGCCCTAGGCTCTGCCTCTTTAAGTTCTTGCTGACCGAGTGATCCTCGGTAGGCCCTCCAGTTGAATCTGGATACCCCTGGCTTGCTTCCGACCCTGGAAGGCTCGGCCTGGCCCTGAGTCTGTTATTGCCCATCCGCACGGGGGAAACCTAGCTGCCCAAAGCAGCTTCAGCTCAGCTGTGGAAACTTTGTCTTTGAAACGACCTCTGTTTTGTAGTTTTAGAGTGGTAATTCCCCTTTGGTTTTAAGTCCTAGTGTCCGGTACAGCTGGCTTTTAAACCACTCACTTGCCCTTTCTCTCTGGCCTCCGGGCCTCCCCATTCCTTGGGTGGTAGCACCCACTCCGAGGTGGAGCAGAACAGGTCTAGGGGCCACACACTAGCCAGCGACGACCCTCTGTCCCACAGAGGCTGGCGGCCTGCCAGCCACCCACAGGCTCAGTGCACCGCCCTTCTCGTTGCTGCAGAAATGCATGGAGATGAAGAACAGCATCCTGGCCCGGCAGAAGGAGATGCACAGCTCCCTGGAGAAGGTAAAACAGCTCATCCGCCTCATCCACGGCATCGACCTCTCCAGACCCGTAGACTCTGAGGCCGCTGTAGGGGCCGTCTCCAATGGCCCGGACTGCACCCCCCCTGCCAGTGCCGCCACCTCCACGCCGGCCCCCTCCCCCTCCTCTCAGAGCTGCACAGCGAACTGTAACCCGGGGGAAGAGACTAAATAACAGAGCCCTGCTAGGAGAAGCCGCGGGGTCCCGGCGGCAAGGAGAGCAAAACACTGAAGACTCTAGGAAAGCAAAGCCGGATTTCTTCTGGAAAGTACGGAGTTCTTTTGGTTCTTTGGTTCCAGAGAGAGAGAAGATGCTTGTGCCAGGTGGCACCAGAGTTTGCCAATTGATCCTTCTTATTCTGTGTGTACATGCAAAGATTGGACCATGTTACATGAAATAGTGCCAGCTGGAGGTTTTTTGCCAGCACCATGCCAAGTGAAATAATATATTTACTCTCTCTATTATACACCAGTGTGTGCCTGCAGCAGCCTCCACAGCCACCATGGGTTTGTTTTTGTTCTGTTGGGTGGGGAGCAGGGACGGGCGGAGGGAGGAGAGCAGGTTTCAGATCCTTATTTGCCGAGCCGTTTGTTTAGGTAGAGAAGACAAGTCCAAAGAGTGTGTGGGCTTTTCCTGTTTCTAAACTTTCACTACTATAAAACCAAAAAAAGAAAATCGAGATTTAACCAACCCCAGTGCCCAGAGGAGGGATGGGGAGGGAAAGGGAGGGAGCCGGGGTGGGAAAGTCTATCAAACGAGCAGTATTTCTTATTGTCTGTGGTGGGCACAGTGTGCGGAGAAATGGACACCAAGAACAGCCCCCGGGCCTCCTCCTGTGTGCTCCGCTCCCCTGCCGTGGGCGCCCCCGCCAGTCCCCAGGTTCCTTCCCTGCTTCGGCAAATTGGCGCACATCCGTGGATGACAGGTTCCTTCCCTCTCAGAGAACAAGCAGAGCCAGGCTCAGCGGCCCTTGCCCAGGGCAGGGAGGAAGGGGGTGTGTGTCGAGGAAGGAAAAACGGTGGATCAGTGATTTTACTTGAAAACAAGCTCCATCCCTTTTCTATATTTATAAGAAAGAAGAGAAGATCCTGAGCGAAGCAGCACGCGACCCAGGTGTGTGTGAATTGAATGGAGACATTTCTTTTTTTTTTTATTTTTTGTTCTTTTTTCCTTTTTTAAAAAAAGTTTTATTTTGTTGTTTATTTTACTTTTTTGGTAACAAAAACTAAAATAAGGAATAGAAAAGCTGTTTTTCAGGCTGACAGTCCAGTTAAGGGTAGTCGAGACCTTGCATGGTAGCGTAGGAGTCATAGTGTCAGTGAGGTCCAGTGAGTCCGTGTGAGTCCTTGTGTCATCGTTCGGGGCACTGTTTTTTTTATGCAAGGGCAAAATCTTTGTATCTGGGGAAAAAACAACAACAACTTTTTTTTTAATTAAAAAAGAAAAATAAAAGATATTGAGGTCTTCCTAGTGTTACTTAAATTAAGATCAAGGTAAGAAACATTGTAAAAAAATTACAAAAGTGCTATTTGTTTCCTAAAAACAGTGATTTCTATTAAAAAGGTGTCAGAACTGGAGAAAATGCTGTGTAGTTATAATTTTTTAGCACAGAACCTGCTGATCATGATGACATTTTGCTGTGTTTGTATCTCGAGACTGTTGGGCTAGTCTCCAGGATTTCTGACCTCGGATGGCTGCAGCCCTGCCCGGCAGGGGCGGAGCTCTCCTGCCGTCCCCTCCTCAGAAAGGACTGCCCCCGCTTCTTGGTGCAGGGATCTGGGCTTCTGTCTCTGAAGCCCCAATGGAGTGTGGATGGTATCAGGGCCCTACCCTCTGTCCCCTCGGATTTTGCTAGAGCAAAAGGCTGGTGCCTAAATAAGATCCTTTCCTTTGGTGCTGCTCTTGGTCTTTCAGCCACCAGCATTTTGAGTGCCTGGGGGACAACCTGGAAGGAAATGGCCAGTGAAGCTCATTGGTGTCTACGCACCCCCGCCTAGTGTCAAGTGGAGGGTGCAGGGGGCACGCTGGCTACACTGGCCCTTGGTGCTTAGAGGGAACAAAGGAATGAGATTTCTTAAGGCTACACAGTGTTTCTGAGACAGAGAGCCCCAGGGTGGCCTTTGTGTCTGTCTTGCCTTTGAAGAGAGGTCTGAATTTCCAGCCCCCTTCTCTGCCTGCTGGCTCCTGGCGCCAGAGGTAGAGCTCACTCCACTTTGCCCACCCACAAGCTTCCTGGGTGACCTTTGGCTAGACTCTCTGTGCATACCTTGGCTTGGCCTGTCTCCTTCTTTTAAAAAGCGGGGTTCTGAAAGACTCGGACCATTTCTATCATCTTGCCTTGTGGGAAATGAATTTGTCAGGTGTGCGCTCCCACCGGAATCTCCTGCCCGTTGTGCACCCGGCCAGCAGGAAGGAGGCAGAGGCTGTGCATTCCCAGACCCTCCCAGAGCGAGTGTCCCCAGCCCGCCCCATGCCCCCCAATGGCCAGAGTCCAGGAGGGGCAGGAAAGGTCCCATTAGTTTCTCCCCCACCCAGTCAGTCCCAGAGAGACGAAGATGGATCCCGAAAGCAAGTTCAACTTCTTAGGTGAAATGAGTCTCACCTCTACCAGCGATTTCCATTCACCCCCGCAGAGAGATGATGAGGGGGTTCAGAGTGGCTGCGCGGACCTCAGAGTCAGGCCCGGCTGAGGAGTTGCCTGAGGGGGACAGAGGAGCTCCCTTTCCTCACGCAGAAACCAAGGTGCTATGTCTCGTCAGGGAGCTTTGTCTAGTCAGGCACAGCTGGCAGAGGCTGCTGGACTTGTCCGGGCCCAGCAGCTGGGGGTTGCCAACAAACCTTCCTTCTGGAAAGAAGTTGGGAAACCATCACTAGAGGCCTTCACTCAGAAAGGAGCCGCCCGCCGATCTCCGGGTGGGGCAGAGCTGGGAATGGACCGCGTTCTGCCTGCCGCTGTGAGCAGTCCCGTTCTCACTGTGCCCAGGGTTGGGGGGAAGATTTTTCCTGAAGTTCAGATATGAGCCATGTGGGGAGTCAGCTAGTATGGAGTCCAAAAATGCAAGCCTGCCCCCAACGCATGTTCTGGACTCAAATTTCAAAACACCCCTTACTGCAAAAAAAAAAAGGCCATAGTTGCCCCACCTCCTTTTCCTTCCCTGTCTTGACAAGAGAAGCCCCCTCTCTGTCCCCCAGACTTGTGGTGCCTGTGCCCACCTGAGACACACACTCACGGCAGCCCTGCCCATCTGAACGGCCTCCTCCTCCTCCCTCCTCTTCTTGTCCCCTCCCCACAGCTGAGTTTAGCGGCCACAGATCTGAGACCAGCTGGCTTTGTCATCACTTCAGAGGCCAGGATCTGCTGGTCTGGGACCAGGCGCCTGCCCCCCTGGCCCTTCATCAGGGGGCCCATTGTCAGTCCTGGGGTTCAGGCGCTGTGCCCTGGAGGCAGTGAGGTCATGCTGCTGTCATCTTCCCCCGCTCCCCCCCCGCCCCCGCCCCCAGCTCGCTTTCTTGCCAAGGCGGCCTGCAGGTCCTCTTTCTTTCACGGAGCCTGCCGGGTCTTGTCTAGCTTCTGCAGGGCTCAGTTCTGCTTCCTTCCTTCTTTATCAGGCCCTTTGGGGCAAACCCACTGGTTGTGCCTGGCAGGGAGCCGTGTATGGGACCAAGGCAGCCTCCAGCTGGCACCATCCGAGTGCCCAGTTTCCCTCTAGGGACACCGCTCTGTCCCTGCTGCTGCTTGGCTCCAGCTCAGCAGGTGGTGTGAACAGGCACAGCTGCTTGCCTCACGCCCCTCCCACAAGGGTGACCGTGTTTCCCACTCACCTGTCTCTGTGTGTAGTTGCCTCTCTGCCATCCCCCACACTTTTTTCCTGGGGTTCTCACTCCCAGCTCCCGCAACACGCCCTAAGTGGTTTCCTCCCTTCACTCCCTCCTAGGGTGTGGTCTTTCTTACTTATCCAAAGGGCTTCATAGGAGACTTTTACTCCCGGGGCGAAAGTCTTCTGGTGGTAGGATGGATGGTGGCCCTGGGTTCTTGATACCATGGCTTCCGTTCGGTGGAAGCAGCCTCGCTCTGTGTGAATGATTGTGGGCCTCACCCCCAGCCCTCGGCTGGGCACCCTTGGCAGGAGACAGACCTGTCCTCACCTGACTTAGAGCTGTCCATAGTGTCAGCGCCTTGCCAAGAAGGGAGGGGCTGGCTCCTGAGGCGGCTGGAGCCTCCCCGGGGATGCAGGGGAGGAAGCCAGGAGTTACCCCTGCGGAGAGCCAGCCTGGAACTCTTAGAGCCCTTTTAAAGGGAGAGCGGAGCTCACAAATCCCACGAGCTCCCTCTTGCCACAAGGCCCTTCTTGAACCCTGAGGACTCCACCGTCCCCCACTGCAGCCTTTGGCCCCGTCCCTCCTTCCAGTGTCGTTGGGTCCTCAGCCCAGAGCAAGCTGCAGCCAGGCAGGACAGGACAGGCAGCCAGAGGTCAGCAAGCTCTGAGCAGAAAAGAGCCAGCCAGCCCCCAACCTGTCTCTTGTCCACGCCCTTTGTGATTTCAGTCTTGGTAGAACTTGTATTTGGAGTTTTGTGCTTCAAAGTTTTTGTTTTTGTTTGTTTGATTTTTGTTTTGAGGGGGTGGGGGGGATACAGAGCAGCTGATCAATTTGTATTTATTTATTTTAACATTTTACTAAATAAAGCCAAATAAAGTCTCTCAGCCTCATGGTGTTGGGTTTGGGGTGTGGGGAGGGTGGGCAAGACGCATGGCTCCCAGCCTCCGGGGGTGGGGGGACTGGGCTCTCCTATGACTCCAGGAAGACTCAGGGCCCCCAGGCACCTCCCAGGGTTCATGGATACCCTCGAGCCTCAAACCAAGAAAAACATGAAACAGAGCTTTTAAAACTATTTATGAAAAAAGGATGCAGAATCGAGGATGGGGGAACTGGCCCCAAACCAGCTGGGGCAGAGGGAGACTAGACCCCAGCCCTGCAGCAAGGGCAGCAAAGGGAGGCTCCCAGACCCGACCCCAGGTGCCCCACTGCAGGCCTTCCCTCAGAGACCTTAAATAATTTAAATAACGGAGAGTGTGAGAGCCACGGCCTAGGGCAGGGTTGAGCCACGCAGACCCAGCCCTGGGAGGTCGGGGGGCCTCAGGGCTGCTGCAGGGCAGTGAGGTATTTGAGGGCAGCAGCCCCATAGTGGCGGGACAAGTCCTGGTGGAACTCGTCCTTGAGGGCCTGCAGGCAGCCCCGATAGGTGGTGCTGGAGCGGAAGCGGGAGATGTCCAGGCTCGGGGTGTGTGGCAGGTGGATGGCAAAGGCCTCTGGCAGCACCAGGAACTCATATTCCTGCAGGGGCGGGACAGACCGATGGTCAGGGCCTGGGCCGGAGCATGGGGGACAGGCTTACCCAATAGCCTCGAGGAGCCAAAGCCAGGCCAAGGGGCAGATGGTTTTAGTTGTACAGAAGGATGGTACAATGGCGCAGTGCAATGCACTGAGACACAGTGAACTCCTTGGGCCCGGAGGTCCTCAAATCAAAGCCGGAGGCAGCAAGGATCCCCCTCACCTGTGCATCCAGCTCCACGATGTGGGCCACCTTGTTCCAGCCAAAGCCCACAAAGCGGGGGTCATAACGGGGACAGTCACGCGGCACCACCACGTAGGGTTCATAGTCGGCGGCCCACTGCACGTGGTATGGGG